GTTTTCTGCTTTTAAAGGCTCAACGGATCATACTGGGCCCAAATAATGTAGGGTGATTTTAATATCTGAACTTCACTTATCTAAGAAAAGTCTCTTTCGCCATGGAACAGAGCATGTTTATAGTTCCTGAGGAATAGGGTATTAATATCTTTGGGAGCTATAACCCCGTCTTTCCCAAATCAAAAAAGGCTGAGGAACACAAGATAATAAAGGCATGTAGGCCCCTGAGTTGTTCCAATTAATGGCAGCTCATGCCCTTAGTAAAATTGGTGGTCCAATGGCAAAAGCCAGCAATGGGAAAAGCAGTAAGGACCCAGTCTTAAGAAGGTTGGCCTAACCTATTGAAAATTGAGTCAGAATGCCGGCTGTAACCCCTGTAAGGTTTGGTGCATTGTGATACGCTGCAATACAGGCTGGTACCCATCTACCCACAAACGTTGCTGTTGGTTCTACAGTCAGAATACGTGGCTATACGAATTAAAAGATGAAAGTAGGATTTTTTTTTCTCTTACTATTAAGCTCAATAAGCCACCTTTGTTTTTGTTCTCTATCTCTGAAAGTTTTGGTTCTGCTTCTATAGAGGAAATGGCTTCCACTAGAATAGTGGTTCTCAACCTTCCTAATGCCACGACCCTTTAACATAGTTCCCGTGGGTCACAACCCACAGGTTGAAAACTGCTACATTAGAGCAATACATTTATCAAAATACAAAATTATTCTATTATGTTGGAAGTGACTGGGCCAAATTTATCAAGCTGATCTATGGTTTCTGGTACAAAAGTGTGGCAATAAAGATAGTGCTTGGAATGCAATGAATTCTCTGCGGAGCCTTTTACTACTTCCACATTAAATAGTAAGGGTTGTGGGCAGCTGGAGCCACCCAGTAAAAGCAGGACCACTAAGGAGCTTGACTCTGCCAGAAGGAAGTTTTATATCATTCCATCTGTAGAAAACTTCAAGTCCTAACTTAGAGCAAAGAACACATAGTTACCCACCCCCAGCTCAAACAATTAATACACGGCCATATAGCCAATCTGGTTTTTATATGTACATGCACATGTGCACACACACCTCCAAGCACTTAGCAATTCTCCCCAAAATTATTTTGAAAATATACAGCTGGCCGGGCATGGTGGCTCACGCCTATAATCATAGCACTCTGGGAGGCTGAGGCAGGTGGATTGCCTGAGCTCACCAGTTCAAGATCAGCCTGAGCAAGAGCAAGACCCTATCTCTAAAAATAGAAGGACGTTGTGGCAGGCTCCTAAACTCACAGCTAATTGGGAGGCAGTGGCAAGACGGTTGCTTGAGCCCCAGAATGGCAACACAGTGAGACTCTGACTCAAAAAAAATATATATATATATATATATATATATACAGCAAAACTGATCCTTTTATTTTATCCTAAATAATTTGTAAAAAGAAATTATATTTACCTCTAAAAGATATGTGACCTTCAACAACAACATCTCCAAAAAATAATAACATAAAATAACACAAATTCTTTAATACAGCAAATATCTGTACAGCATTCACATTTCTAAAGTTATAAATCTTTCATGAACATTATACACTCTTCTGTTACATTTTATTGTCTTTTGACTATGAATACAAACTAGGGCCATACATTTCGTTGGCCAATTTTTAAGTTTTAATGTACAATTTCTCCTTCACCTCCTTTTTGACTTGCATTTTTGATTGGGAAAAAACCTGGACCATTTGTCTCTAATGAGATTCTTCGCTGATTCTATCATTTAACTTGTTCTTGTGTCTACTTCTTATGGACTGGTGTTTAATATAACCTAAGGGTTGGTAAGCTTAGTTTTGTTTGGAAGTAAAAAAGACTGATTATGTCAAAAGTGGTCTTTCAAGATTTTAGTTTCCATCAAGTTGTTCAAAATGACTAGGTTTGTGTGTGTATGTGTGTGGAGAGAGGTAGGCTACAGGTAGATACTAGACAGATAGATAAGGACAAATAAACAGATATAGTTTTTATTTCCAGACTGCTAAGCTTTTAATTCAAATCTGGGTGTACAAGGCTTTCCTTGGCCACAGTGATACTACAGGTGGTATTTAAAGCCATGGGAGAGTAAATGTTGACAGAACAAAGCAGATATTCCAAAGACCAAATAGTGGGACTCCGGCAATGAAGACCAAGCAGAAAGGATGCTTGAGGTGGGATGAAAACCCAGGGAGTATGGTGTTCTGAAAACCAACAGAAGAAAATACGTCAAAGACAAGGGTGCCCCAAAGGTATACAATTCTTCTAATAGATCAAATAAAATGAGGTGTGGGTATTGATCGCTGGATTTGTTAATGGGAACATCTTTGATGTTATTGATGAAAATAGTTGCAGTGGAGCAATAGAGGCGAAGACTGATGAGAGTTGGTGAAAAAAGAATTGGAAGAAAGGAATTTTAGGTAAGAGTATAGACAAAAGTGTTTGGGGTTAGAAGCAGGGACTGTTCACGCACAGAAGCAGGAAGGATACAGATAATATGAACACACATGTAGGTGGAGAGACAGTAGATATAGGGATGGCAGGTTGCAATATTCCTCTTGATTTTTTCCCATTTCATTAGTTAATTCCGTAAACAAGGTCATCAGCTAATAATGAGGGTCTAGAAAGAAAAGATCTGAGAAATCATTCAGGAGACAGACAAAGTGATTGGGCCATTAAAAGGTATTATGTCCAACTATACCTCTATGGCCCAGAGAAGTGAGTGGTTAAAAATTGAAAATAATCCCTGAGAGCATGTTAGTGAGTTCTCCTACCACTTAAAACTGGATGCACACGCTAAGGAGATGGAAAATTGGTGCAACCCCAGAGAGGTTTGCCAGGGAACAACAACAAATGGAATGAGAAAGAGGGGACTGGAGGGTGTGTTCAAGTCCTAACCCCCTTACCTGTGAATGTGACCTTTTTTGGAAAGAGGGTCTTTACAGATATAATAAAGTTAAGATGACATCATTAGGGTGGGCCCTAATTAAATGTGACTAGTGTCCTCTTCAGCATGGGAGACAGAGACACACAGGGAGAAGTTACCTATATGACAACCAGGGCAAAGACCAAAGCAACACATCTACAAAGCAAGGAATTCCAAGGTTGCCAGCAAACACCAGAAGGTAGAAGGGCAAGCAAGGACTCTTTCCCCCCAGTTTCAGAGGGAACCTGGTTCTGCCAACACCTTCCTTCTGGACTTCCAGCATCCAAAATCGTGAGACAACAAAGTTCTGTTATTGTAAGCCACGCAGCCTGCAGTACTTTGTTACCTCACCCCTGGGAAATGCATTCGTGTATATATCATCTGTGGTTAATTTTACAACACCATGGCAGAGTTGAGTGGTTGTGATAGAAATTGTATGGCCGTGCAAAACATAAAATATTTATTATTTGTTACGTTCTAGAGAAAGTTTTTCAACCCCTGGTCTAGAGCATGAAAGTGGAGATGAGAGGCTGAGGGAGGATGCCATCCCGTGTAAGTCTCTCTGTAAGGGCCTCTGATTGTTGTTGCATCCAATCAGCACCATGAACCTTCTGAATAGTAACATTAACTGTGGACTACGGGAGTAAGAAAAAAATCACATTAAGGGAGTAAATTTGAGCAAGTTAGGAATAGACCACACTACATTCTCAGGGGAGAATTGCATTTCTTGGTGAGGAAATTAGGCCCTTTGTGCTTTTAGTGGTTAAATACTATCTCACCTTTAATAGCCAGTGGCCACTTGTTAAGCTGAAAAGTCTAACACAGAATTAAGATATGTGTTCACTACTTCTGATGGCAAAGGCTGGCTTGATTGCTAACATAAAATATTTAGTTTTTCAGGGTCTATATATACCATTGCTCTCTCGTATGCTTTAGGATAAACCTTCTTTTCCTTACATCCTCTTTTTTCTTTTGTAGTAAAATGTGCTTTTAATAATATTGATTAACCATCCTTTTATGTGAACAAAGATTCTGTGTGTAATGATGAGACCTTTAAGTCATTTAGTACTTTATTTGCCATGTGCTTTTTGAGTACATGACATAATTTGATCCTTAAGGCAGCCCTGTCAATCTGTTTAATATTTTTAAACACAATTTCTGCTTTATAAAGGAAGAAGTTTAGACTCAGGAAAATTGAGTGGCCGGCCCAGAGTCTCAGCCATCTAAGCTGAATGATGACTTCGGGATAATTACGGTGACAAATTCATTTGTTGGTCGAAACCAAATGCAAACTGATGCCGCCCCAAATCCTCTAAAATCCTTCTCTTGGAAAAAGAATTTATTAGAATTATAGAATTTCTCGGTGCAAGGATTTCTTTTTCCTTGGAATTAGGTAGAATAAACAATTGAATGCCAAAAATTCAACGTGGTGTTTTCTCCTTTTTTTTTTCCCTCTCCTGTTTTTAAGACTCAGAGAAATTGTGGCTACGAGCAACTGATCATGCCTCTGAGAATTAACTCTTTCTGTAGACAGCCTGGCAGAACTTGATCCTGACCGGATCCGTGGTCTCTGATGATTCTACAACCCCAGTAGGAAAGGAAACCATGCTGTGATTTAGCCCAGGAGCCTTGAAAAACAAAAATAAAAACAAACAAACAAACAAAACACAAGGATCCCAGTGATGTCCTTCAGGAATGGTTGGCTTAAAAACCCCCTGGAAGAAGGTGAAGGGGTCTTTCTCACACATTTCCGTCCCTCCTCTGGCTTCTGTTCCCTTCCCCTCTGCCCCCTGCAGAGCTGTGTTCTCTGGGAATCAGCAAGAAAGATCACAAGTGGTCTTTTCTTTTTTTCACTCTCTCCCATAAAGAAAGCTTTATCACGTGTGGCCTTAAACTTGCAGCAAATTGCAAAGAAATGGCTCAAAGGCTTCAGCTCTTTCTGTGCCCTGGGAGCTGAGATGCGCGTCAGTGGCCCTGCCAGCGTGGCCAGTCCTCTGCAGACTGCCAGAAAAAAGAGGCCAGCAGGAAAGACCAAAGAGAGGAGATTGCCCAGGGGTGAGACCAGGCCCGTCATCTCTTCTCTCCTTTAATCTTCTCTCCACCCAAGCTCTCCCCACCTGGCAAAACTGTTCGAGATTGCTGTGGAATTTACCTCAGTTTCCTCTTTCAGTCTGTGGTGTGTGGGGTCTGAGCCCATTGAGAGGAGCTGGTGGCCTCTGATCTCCACCTCCAGGTAAGATTTTTTTTTTTCTCTTCTTTTGTATTTTGTGAGGAGGACATCAGCTTCTCACAGGAGAAAAGGTAATAAACCCTGAATTTTTGTGTCTTCTCCGGAACAGTTGTCAAGAAAAGTCGATGAGCCCCTCAAAGTTAGTTGGGTGGAAAGAGGAGAGGAGATGGGTTGGAGAAGTCAGAGAAACTCAATTCCGGGTTCCAATTGTGACTCTGCTGCTTATTAAGTCACATTTGCCAAGTGACTTAACTGCTCTGAGTCCTATCATTTTAAAAGAATGGGACTTATGCATTGGGCTTTTTTAAAGACTAGAGAAAGTACATACATCACCTGTCATAAAAAGAATACGTACGTATTAAATGTGAATCACACAAATACTAATTTGTATGGGAGAGGATTCGTTTCTAAACAGCACACACCTCTGGTCAGTCAGCAAGTCCTGTGAGGTTATTTTATGCACCATCTGAAGGGGGGGATCCCGGTGTCCAGAAGCCAACCCAGGGCAGAGGTTCTCCTCCTGCGAGGTGGGTAAGGGAAGAGAGAGAGGGGAGCGGCTGCCTTTAGGACCTCTGTGCAGGATGGAGTCTGAGTCCCTACTTCGGTGTGTCTATCTGCCTGATCCAACTACTACCTCCCTAAGCCACCTGTGTCCTACATTTGAAATCTGCAGGATTGATTTTCAAACTCATGTGAACAGAGAATTCATTTTTTTTTCAAACTAAAATGAAGAAAAACTACTTGGCTTGTCTTTCTTTGGCCTTCAGAATAAGTTACACTCTAACCCAGGGTATTGGATGAGAGCTTTGCCATATTTTTTTTTTTTTTCTGGAAGAATCTATTCAAGTGGTTGGAAATCAATTAAGGATTTGCCAAATGCAAATCCTTCTGAATAACCGTAGGCTCCTGCTCTACTTCTGCAGTTGCAAATGAAGAGAGGGAGCCTGCGAGCCGGGGATCTTTCCATTCATGTCACTGAGCCACCTTCCTTCTTTTTAGGGGGGGAACTACAGCCTCCTGGAATATACTATGCTGATAGGTGATTTGCCCATCAGCCCTCAAAGTGAAATTATGTTTTCAGTAAAACCTATGCAGCGCCAATATTTTAAGCTGAGTATTATTTTGCCCTAACATGATGTTAATTGACTACATTTTTTTTTTTGATATTGCTTCTGAATTCCTAGTAGAGTGATTCTTGTGTCAACACCTCCAAACCTAAGACTTGAAATGCATTTTAGTGTCATAAGTTTTTAAGTATTGTTTTCAACATGATTGTTTGACACTTTAACATTGGCATTCTAGATGTAACCTTTTGAATCTATTAAATATAAATTTTGCATATGTGATGTCATATCTTATTATAAAATCATTTATCTGCATTTCTGGTTATTGGTTTTGCTATTATAACAGAGGAAAAATAAAATCATACCGAGACCCTTAACATAGAAGGCCAATTTGAATGACATAGTTTAATTTCTTGGAAGAAGTTGCCTTTATTTTAAGCTGTGAATTTACTAATTTGTATTTAAAATATTTGTTTCATGTATTGTTTGGTGATATTTTAATATTTTAAAACCTTCTATATAAGAAATACATGTTCATTGTAGAAACATTAGAAAGTATGAATGCACAAAGCAGTTTTTAAAAAATCATCTGCAATGCTACCATACAGAAATAGGGGGTTAACCTTTTGTTTGTAAACTTTCTGAAACTTTTTCTCTGTGCATATACACATTTAAATGTGTGCTGCTTTTATAAAATAGTTTATTATATATTCTATTTTGTAGCATGTATTTTTAAAATCAATTTTACAATGAATGTAGATTTATATAACTATATTTCTTTACATTAAATCTCCAAAGGCTTAAAAAATGTCATTGCATAAATGACATTTAGGTCATTTGGTTGTTTGAATTACTTTTTTTATTGTAGTCAATGGATCTCTCTCTCTACAAGTTCAATTAAAGGTACTCTGTAGTCTTATACTGAAAACCTATTTAACATTGTCTAACCCATTGTTTCCCAAACTCTCTTCATTGCTGTGGCAAAATGTTATTCTGGAAAAGTTGTCTTTTACAGACATTGTCTTTAAACATTTTAAATTATATGTATGAAGTTAGCTAGTGGTATCAGATACTGGCAAAGAAGAATCTCTACATTCTTAGTTTCTTAGAATTCTTTAAAAAAAAATAAGGAGGATAGTGAATTTTATCACCTGATTTTTTTCATTGACTAAGATTTTATTTTTATTTTTTTGGCATTTTTTTGGCTGGGGCTGGGTTTGAACCCGCCACCTCCGGCATAAGTGGCCAGCACCCTACCCTTTTGAGCCACAGCCGCCACCTAAGATTTTATTATTTTTAATTTTGAATTCTTCATGTGACAATTCAGATGAATAAAGTTCCCACTATCAGTTTGTGTGTCATTTAGAATAATCCCAATTATAGAATATTAGTTTATTACTTTGGATTACTAACATTTGGTTTCAAATTTAATAATCTATAGTTTTGATCGGAGGTTTTCCTTTATAAGATTTTGTTACCAAGATAACTTTAGTTTTGTTGTATGAATGGAGACAATGATCGCCTGTTTCCATCATCTGCTGTCTTTCCTTGAAGAGCATCACTCAATCAAGCACTCCTCTCGCATCCTCCTGGGTGTCTGTGCTTAGGGGCATAAATAGCTTTAGAGTATTTCTGCTAAGGTCTTCCTTGGTTGTTTTTCTCTTCTGGTTTGGTCAATGCAAGTAATTAATATTTAGAAAGTATCTATTTTGTCAAGTTTGTAAGGTTATTATACATACTTTTTAGGTTTTATGCTCCTAAACACCTCTGTTTTAAATTCACGAATATCATATTCTTGTGTATTTGCCTTTTGGTCTTGACTAACATCAGTTCTTTGTTTAATTTATTAGTCTTTAAATTTTTTTTGTTTCACTCAGTTTTTTTCCTTTGTCCATTTACCAAGAAATTAAAGTTATGCATCTTTATGAAATCAAGCCATCAACAAGCTTAAGAATACGTTTTAAAAAGCTGTTGCCCAGCCCTTTCTCTACTCATACCCCCCCCCCCAGAAGAATCACTCTAACTTTCGATTGTTTAAGTGGTCTGATGTTTGACTTCATATGTTAAAATAAATTGTTTGCACTACTATCCCTTGATTTTTCAGTTTGAGATAGCCATTAATTCAGACTAGGAAAGCTGAAATTTAGTAGATACAAAGCAAGCATTGCATAAAGTCAAAATGATAACACACATAGGCAGAATGAGCTGGATTCCTACTACCCTATATGAAATTTTTCTCGTAATGCCGTTCCTTTACATAGCGTAATGTGCATAGAGATGATCTCTATTAACATACACTTGTGTCCTGTAATATTATTTTATTTTTTGAATCCCTTGATTTAGATTAGATTATCATGCATGCAGGCACTGAACCATGTGCAATCTGAAAGAAGGAGGGGCAGAAGATGTGAATATCGATATGAACAGGAAGAAAACAGGTTTAGTGTGTAATACTGTCCAGGGTTCTGGTCAGGCCAAGAGTTGGAGGAGGTAGGAAATTAAGAGGAGGGAGGAAGCTCATTCATCTCTTATTTAAGGTGGCCAAAAGACTGTCCTCCAACCCGAATTAAATCTAAGCCCAAGATGGAACGTCACGCTTCTCATTTTTCAAATTAAAACAATACCTGAATTGGACCTCTTCCTGCTAGCCACATTTGAAGCCTTACTTGGGTGCTACAGGAATCACAAGGTGCTACAGAGACCTAGGATGGATTTCAGGCTTTTCTGTTTGTTCTGCGAGGAAGGTAGATTTAAAGGCTTTCGTACAAGACTTAATTCCAAAGAATCAATTTTCAAAGGGCTGAATTCCTCTTCTTCCTTTCCTGCTTTCTTCTAGCTCAAACTGGCAAGGCCACAAAGAGCAAAACTCTGCCTTGTTATTTATTCCAAAGGGAACATTTAAATTTATTCTTTGCCATAATGAGGCCTAAACTGGAAGGATGGAGAAAGAAGGCAGGCTACAGAGTCCCAATAGTTAATCAGATATCCTGGTTGATTTTAATTGAAAAATTCTCCACCCTCCTATAGTAACAAAGGTAGCTTTGCTTTAAATTAGGGCTACAGAATAGATGTCTACTGTTGAATAAAAATATTATTTAACAAATTGCATAGTATTGAAGTCATTTTTCTTTTACTTTTAAAATCAGATTTGACAGATCAGAGTCAAGGAGTATTTTTATAATGGACACTTCATCCAAAGAAAATATCCAGTTATTTGGCAAAAATTCAGTACAACCTGTTGGAAGGTCATCCTTAAAAACAGAATATCCCTCCTCAGAGGAAAAACAACCATGCTGTGGTGAACTAAAGGTAGAGTAACAAAGAATTCGGTAAAGTAGGTGATCTTGGCTTTCTATCCAGATGTCTTCTGTATCATCGAGTTCCAGGATTTTTTATTTTTCTTTTAACAGAGTGATCTTATATGCATTTTACTAGACCCAAGGAAACTCTTCCAGATCATGTGGGTTGCATTGCTTTCCTGGGTTCATTTGAATGCCCTTCCTAAACAGAAGGAGAGGTGGTAGAAACTCATATTTATTGAACTTCTACTGTGTGCCAGATATTGTTCCAAGTCTAGGTATAATGATTAGTCTATTAAACATCCATGTTATTCCCATCCCGTTTTACAAATAAAAATAAATTAACATGGGAATAATATTACTCAGTACAGGGCAGGGTTGCTTTTCATGCTGCTTTGTGTGACTCCAAGCTCCTAGACTTTACACCGAACAGCCACTCAACAAATATTTGTGTGTTTTTATATGTATAAATGCTAACTTGCCAGATAAATAATCCATCATGGAGCCATGTCTAGCAAAATACCTAAGCCAATTATCAAAGAAATGCTTTTCATTAAGAAAGAATTTGAGTATATATTTACTAAGTATAAACTTAAGCACATAAGGAATAGTAGTTCCACTTTTTCAATCCACGTATTATGTTCCCTGCTGGTGCCCACACCATCACTGTGAAATACCTAACCAGGAGAATGATAACAAGTGATGAGATTCAGGTGTTTGGCTTATGGTTTTCATTTGTTTTATTTTCTTTCCTAAGAATGACTTTTTCATCTCTTTGCCACCCATACTTTGAATCTTATGTATGTATGTATTTATTTATTTATTTTTAGAGACAGAGTTTCACTTTGTCACCCTCAGTAGAGTGCTATGGCATCACAGCTCCCAGCAACCTCTAGCTCTTGGGCTCAGGCAATTCTTTTGCCTCAGCTTCCTGTGTAGCTGGGACTACAGGTGCCCGCCATAATGCCCAGCTATTTTTTTGTTGTTGTTGTTGCAGTTTGGCCAGGGCCGGGTTTGAACCTGCCATCCTGGTATATGGGGCCAGTGCCCTACTCACTGAGCCACAGGCGCCACCCTGAATCTTATTTTCAAAGCAAGACTCCTTTGAGTGTCCTTTTAGGGATGATGAAAGAAAGAGCCAAAAGGAACTCAACATACATTTTGAAGGAAAATCCACATGCATTTCAAATTCCAAGAGAATTTGAGTTTGGGGAAGTCCGCTTGTGCTTGAGGCTCAAGGAAACCTGTAGTAATGAATTAAATCTTAATGCATGAATATTTCCTGAATGTATTTGTATTTGTCTGTGTGCTTTTCAAGTTTCCAATTGTGCTGACTTGTCATGTTTTCCAGGTGTTCTTGGGTGCCTTGTCTTTTGTGTACTTTGCCAAAGCCTTGGCAGAAGGCTATCTGAAGAGCACCATCACTCAGATAGAGAGGAGGTTTGAGATCCCTTCTTCCCTGGTGGGAGTTATTGATGGTAGTTTTGAAATTGGTAGGTATTGCAGATGTCCAACTTTACTTTTAAGCCCAGGGTCTTCTAGGTGTGGCTAAATGATATCCTCTCTGTATTTGGTTGTCTGTTGGGATCTGACTTGATTCGTAAAATCTTGTTCGACAGAATTTGCCATAACTTTATGCTGCAGAGAAGCATTTGCTCTCTCAGAGCAACCAACGAAAAATGTACCTGCCTTCGTAGGTGTTCTCAATTGTGCAACTTCACACAATTCAGAGTTCCCAGTCAGAGTGAGAGAGGAGAGGGTGAGCTGCTGGTTAGTATTTTGAGTTAGATAACATAGGTATGTAGAAAGTGTCTTTACAAAGAAAATGTATCCTAGGAGCCCTATAATTCAATTTTAGAAATTTATAAGAATCCAGATGGGCTCTACAAAAATTTATTGCAATGATTTTAGAAGTCAAACTATAAAATGGAATTTCTGCCCAGTGACCTAGAGAGAAGAGAAAAAACACTAGCAGATCAGAGCAGGCAATAAAAATTCTACTCTCAGGGATATTTAGTTAGCAATTGACTACTGGCTCCCTCTTAGAACTTGAAAACACCAAGTGATGTTAGTAACTGTTTGGAAGTATGTTAAAGAGTATAATCACAGTTAGTCACCTTCCTCAATTGATAAACTAGGAG